GAAAAACTTGTGGATATTTTTCTGCCAATTTTTTTTAGAATAACATTCACACTTTAATCTGCAGAACCTGAAAATTTCAAGGGAAAATATTCATAACTTTCCTGAAAAATTAACATTTTACTGGAGGATATTTGGCAACTCTCGAATGCTCATACGGCGTTCTTCCTCAGCACGGCAGAATTGAACAAAATTCCGATTGAGCCCACATTTTGTCACTCCTCTGACGTAAGGGCGTATCTCGATTTCCGCATGAGCCCCGAGAAGCATGGATTTATATGGGAAACAGGGCTCACGTGGAAATTGGGGTACGCCCTAACCTCAAGGTGCGACGATTTCAGTGAATTTTACGATCGCAACGGTGACGTTTCCCGCCCTCGAGGGTGTTATAACCACACGAGCCTGACAATTTTTACGCATGTTAATGAAACCAGGATGAGCGTATTCCTATATTTGTCTCGGCGTGAATGAACTAATCATCGAAATCAAATTAGTTGAAGGTCGGCTGGTTTTTCAGCCGAGCTGCACGGAGCGCTCATCATCGTTGGTCTTGCTAATTTTCGAGAGATCTCTGACCAGCGGGCCGATTATTGAAATTGATAGACAAAGCTTTTGACAAAAATGACAAAAGGGATATGGAGGGATCCTATTGGTGAAAGCTGGTGGTTGCAATGGACAAAGGCAGTGGGTAATAGACAAAATAACGGCAACCCACGAGAAACCCGACATTTAGTCTATCATTTTCTCCCTTAGTCTATAAGAACCACACATTTCAACCAATAGGATCGGTCTATAACCCCTATGTCTTCTTTGTCTATCAATTTCAATAATCGGCCCGCAGTGGTGATACTTGCAAGTTGGGAATACTGCCGTACCAGGGAAGAACGCCGTATGAGCCATCGAACGTTGCCAAATTTCTCTTAGAAAATCAAGCGTTTTCCGAAAAAATTCGTAAGCATTTGTCTTCGAAATTTTCTTCAGAGAATTTTGTTCGCGTGGTTTGATTTAAAAAGTCAGGAAATTTCAAGAAAAAATATTTATAGCATCCTTTATAAATAAATATTTTTTGAAGGGAAATTTGGCAACATTAGAATGCTCAAACGGCGTGTTTCCGTGGGACGGCAGAATACTCAGTTTTGTCTAGAGTCCCTTTATACTGAGAGTCAAGACAACACCCCTCATAGAGTCACAAACGGGAATAAAGATTACAGAAATTGAACGTTTTTCGTAATCTTTGATCGGCCCATTCTCGAATTCCTTTTTTCGTTCCTTCCCTCATTCCGTTTGTTCCTTGCCGAACCCGTAATTCCCCGGTCCATTCCAGATTATAATCTTTGCAATCGGTGAAACTGTAATCTTTATTCCCGTTTGTGACACTGTGAAGGCCTAAAATACGGGAACCAATCAGAAATGGATTCACATTGTCTTGACTCTCAGTATAAAGGGACTCTAGTTTTGTCAATGCGTGTTAAGCAAGTGGAAGGATTGGTTCGCAACCACGATAGCCTTTTTTGGCCCTGGGCTTTGTCAAAAATTAAATGCTCGAAAAAATGATCTACATATGGCAAATACTGTTCAGTATCCTGAATTAGAAACGCTGGCTTATGCTAGTTTTGAATTTTTACGAAGTAGGTTCTAAATGAAAAAGATAGTACTCGGTAGCTAAAATTGGGTCTCTTGGTGTTTTTACCGTAAAAATTAAAATTGGCAAAATATCAGCTTATTTTGCGATTCATTTTCTGTAATTCAACAATGAGCGAAAAGTTGCGCATCGACGGTGTAAGTCCGCAACCACGGATCACGGTTTTCGACGTCGCAGACTTCCTGTCATGCTTGACGATTTGCGTTGTCCAGGAAGATCATCGATTTTTAAAATCCAAGAATTCCGAGAGATGCACCAGAAACAAAAAAGAAACAAACATGCTGATTAGAAGAGAGAAAAGTACATGTAAACTTAAAGATGGAAATGAATATCTCTGACAGAACCAAGGGACTTAAAATACACAATCTGATCCAACAGCCTACGCCCTCTTCTTTGAAAGAAGACGTAGAGACAAAAAAGAATCTTATTATTTTTTCAAAATAATATTCCTCGGCACTTTTCGAATATGCGGCTCGATTATAAACCCAAAAAAATGCACTTTTTGGTCAACATCATTATATAAGGCCACTCACAATGGATACAGAAGAGCGCCTTCAAATCATTCCGTAAACTTAATGCAAAATTCCAACACCACTATTCGTGCGTCAAGGCAGTCATTTTGCATACCCGGCCATTTGAAGGCAAAACATTGACTTCAGGAAACGGGAAACGAATTACCTGGCCCCCACGGAGCCAAAGCCAGGGGCCGCTCCTGGCCCCCAAGGAGCCAAAGCCGGGGTTGCCCCCCCTGGCAACCAAGATGCCCTGCCCCGGGGCTGCCCCCCTGGCAACCAAGAGGCCCTGACTCGGGGCTGCCCCCCCTGACAACCAAGAGGCCCGGACTCGGGGCTCGCCCCCCTGGCAACGAAGAGGCCCTACCCCGGGGCTGCTCCCCCTGGCAACCACGAGGCCCTGACTCGGGGCTGCCCTCCTGGCAACCAAGAGGCCCTACCCTGGGGCTGCTCCCCCTGGCAACCACGAGGCCCTGACTCGGGGCTGCCCCCCCTGGCAACCAAGACGCCCGGACTTGGGGCTCGCCCCCCTGGCAACCAAGAGGCCCTACCCCGGGGATGCTCCCCCTGGCAACCACGAGGCCCTGAACCGGGGCGGCCCCCCCTCGCAACCAAGAGGCCCTGAACCGGGGCTGCCCCCCTGGCAACCAAGAGGCCCTGAACCGGGGCTGCCCCCTGGCAACCTAGAGGCCCTGAATTGGGGCTGCTCCCCTTGGCGACCAAGAGGCCCTGAACCGGGGCTGCCCACCCTATAAACCAAGCGGCCCTGAACCGGGGCTGCTCCCCCTGGCAACCAAGAGGCCCTGTGCCTCCAAGAAACTTGGCAACGTCTGATGGCTCATACGGCGTTCTTCCTTTGAACGGCAGAACAGGCAACGTGGCCCTCAGGTCGATAAGTGCCGATTTTCAGGGATCTGACCGGAAAACAAAGTTGCATTCTGCTGAGATTGCAAAATTTCTGCACCAAAGTTATTTAAAATCTAAAGGTAGTCAAGCAGCAATACTTTTTAGTTGAAATATGTTTCAACTTAATTGCAACTAGTTCCAACAATGGTAGCTCCTTCGGGTCAGAGATTAGGAAATCTGCACATCAATCGATTTGTTGCAAGAATCAAACGATTTTGTTGCAAGCTGTTGCAACCTCTGCTACTTGGGTTCGGACATAGAATACTACCCTTATAGTACTGTGCAACTATTCAAAACTAACGAACAGCGGTGCAGGGTCTTAAGATAATCCAAGCTCAGTCCTAGGGTCCCCCCGGAGGCCGAGAACATGCATCATTTTGAAACCCGAAGCACCGTAAAGTAAGTGATACGGTTGCTTCAGATAATTCGTCAATGAAGATAGTCAACGCATACAAAACGCCGTCATTTGGAAAAGAAACTTCCTGGGCGACACCTAATTGGCAGCTTAGAGCGGTGCATTGAAACTTGCGAGTTCACGTCTCGCGCTATGGCGCCTTCAATTTTGAAGATGCAACACAGCAGACATCCATCAAGCACGAATAGTCGTATCTCTGCGCCGTTGTTAACGCGCGTCCTTTCGTTTGCCCCTCTTCCATATCAACATTGAGATCACCAAACCACGTATCGATGGTGAAAGTGCAGAAGTGCGTATCCTCGGAAAACACGATTTTCCAGGATAGTAAAAAAAACTGTCTACATTCCTCTTTATCGTTAGTAGGAGAGTAATAATTCTTGAGGATAGCGAGAGTAAGATGCATTTTCAGACTCCATCAGCATTTTGAATAATTTCTCAAACTGCTCGAAATTGCGACAGAAATGCCGAGATTCGCGTTTTCGGCACTAAGAATTGACACTTCATCACGAGATACACTCATTTTCAGCTGGTACCTACCTCCAGAACTGAAAATGACTCATATTGATGGTGATGTCAGCATTGCTAGCATAATTTGACTGCATTTTACAATTAGGAAATAAAATTTCTGGCTCAGTTTAGAAGCAGGGTACGTGCCTACCCTCGGTTTCTCTGTGCACATGAGTGCTTTTACGGATAACCCAGAAATTGTAGTTTCTAATTGCAAAACGTGGTCCAATTGTGGTTGTTGAGCACAGTAGAAGACTTAATATTTGTTTCTCATCACGGAAAATGAGCGATAAAATTTCAGGAAAGCTTGTTATTCTTCTTCAACAACACCTGACTAATGATGATGAGTAATAAGGTTTGTAAAATCATGAGGAAAACATGGGCAAATGTTTGAACAAAATAAAGCTGGAAGAGTTTTTTTTTGAATACAGACAATTTTTTCTTCTTTCAAATTTGGATGAACATTTTTGGACGCTCCTTGATACTTCCTTGCCTCAGGGTCTCTTTGAATTTGCCCTAACTATCAAAGTATTTTGGCATTTACCTAAATACATACATAATGCCGCTTTTACAGCGCAGCCTTGCGCTCTGTGACGCCCAATCGCCATTGCCCCCTATCCTCCCAGAGATCATCAGGCAATTGGCACCTTCTGATCTCCTCACTGAACACTCTCCCCCCTCAGTTTCGTACTGGTGCCCATTAGAGTTCAAAAAATTGAATTTTGACTCTAATTTTAATTTTTGGAATTTCTTGGCTTTATTTCCCTGCGAGATGGTGTGGACCCAGCACCATTTCTCCACCTTGTTACATACAGTTCGGGCCACTTCTTAGTGTTTAATTTTTTCCTAGTATTTACCTAAATACTAATAATAAATTGAATGCATGTAAAACACTTTCAAGAGTGCTTCTCTTCAAGGAGAATTCAAAGTGCATCAGGAAATGCCATCTTTATCATGAAGTCACTGTAATTGACAGGCAAAAGGCAAAATGGTCGTAGAAAGCGGACATAATTGACATTAATCAATGAGAAAAGAGTAAATTTTTATTAAGGAAAAATATCAACAACGAAAAAAAATAGCAGACTTGTTTCAATATAAAAAAATACAAACTTAACATTACCTCATATTTTTAACACAAGTGGGTACCTTAAATTATATATTTACATGATAAGATAAGAAAAAAAACAAAACAAAACAAAAAAGTAATAGTTTGGTGTTTAAGTTAGGGACTGGCATAAACACACCACCTGAAATTGATGGATGAGTTTTTGTCTTAGGAAACCAAACTTTCTTCCGGTTCTTTCTTTATGATAACGCCTTCTGTCGTAGATGATTGTCTGGGTTTCTTCAGATGATGGTAATTTGGTAATACTTTGGCCAAATGATCTCTCTGCAATGCTAAAGACTGTAAAATGAAAACAAGGAAAATACTCAATTTCTAGCTGAAAATGGGCGGGAAAAATGTATGTTCAAATGTACAATAGACCAAAAAACAAGATGCAAATTCTAGAATTCTGATACATATTCCCGAATCAAAATTTCACAAGAACATGATTCGCACAAGGAAAAATACTGAAATTAACTCCTAAGTAATTGTAAAATATTAGTTTTCAATTTATATTTTTTACTGGAAAATTCCCCACTCACGATAAAAACATCTATCTACTTGAATCAAATCTTGAACTACAACGGTTTTGGCAGGATTCTCAATCGAGCAATGTCCCTTTCCTGCCTTGTGTTGTTCAAAGTGTTAACAAGGTGCAACACATGAGCCGAAGCACCAAGATAGAGGTTGTCATATTTTTATGCCACAAAGATTGAAACGGTAACGTTTAGTGCGCAATTTGACTTCAGTTGTCATTGACACTGTTGACTATAGTTTTTTCATGGGCAGGAGATTTGAATTTATGCACCAAAAAACGTTAGTATTTTGGTTGGGAGCTAATGCCAGTAATTCCATGGTACAAATCGTGTTTTGGGTAAAATTTAAATTAGGTAAAATTTGTTAGAATGCTTAAATTTGCACTTTTTCTAGTGGTCTATGGGGCCAAATTTAACAAAAATGAACTGATGCCCGAATCACATTTTGGGAAAAAATGAGTTGAAGATAGTTTAGAACTCGACAGCAATAATATCCCATCTCAAAATCATAGTTTAGAACTCGACAGCAATAATATTCCATCTCACAATCATACTGATCTTTACTGCCTTAGAACTTCTGAAGAATGGTATCCTAAATAGAGGCAGTAATACTTGAAAAGAAATAGACTCTTTCGCTCGCCAACATATGTGCCTCTGAGACATATTAGTGTAGAATAAAGTACCGTTGTAAAAAATATAAAAACTGAAGAGAGGAGGCTTTTACACCGATCTCAAATGGGGAAGGGATTTCGAAAACTGAAACCATGTCAATTGGTTCATTACCATCATTAAAATTTAAAAATTTTTAACTTCTCCCCAAAACGTCCTGGAGTCTCATCTCCCTCACACTGACTCAAATAAAGTGATTCTTTGGCTCGAAGAATCGATTGATTGATTAATTAGAATGATCTGCCTCTATTGAAAATGTAAATTACAAAAGCAAAAATGAATCAGTAAGAATGAAAACGCACCACCTCGGTAACTCGGAAATGCTCAATTTTCATTAAAGATAGCCAATTTCCATAAAGGTCATTGAACTTAGCACATCTGTTCTGACCTTTAAAGTGTCCTTAAGGTGATTCGATGGACGCCATATTTTGTGTCAGAAAGGCATGCGATATATCGCATCAATTGGTTCCAATTTTTCAGCTATTTGTCATTTTTCTCCAATTTTGAGATTGCAATTCTGTTTTCAGGAGACTAAAGCACTCACTTACCAATTTTAAAAAAGGGATTCAACATACTAAAGGCAAGGTTTTTTTAGAGAGAAAACATCGCATTCGATACTGATATCGAAACTGCACTTGAATGCGATATTTCCTCTCTAAAAAAACCACGCCTTTATTACATTGAACTTCTTTGTTAAAATTGGTTAGTGAGTGCTTTAGTCTCCTGACAACAGAATTGCGATCTCAAAATTGGAGAAAAATGACGAATAGCTGAAAAATTGGAACCAATTGATGCGATATGTTGCATGCCGTTCTGACACCAAATACGGCATCCATCGAATCACCTTAAGTCTTTCGGCATCAAACATGTTTTTCTTGGACTAACTTCTTCACCTTCTGTGAAGTTTTATGTGTGTCTTGATTATTTTCATTTTTTTGAGTTGGTGTGTTTTCGTTCTCACTGATTCAAATATCGCAAATTTTAAAACTTTCAAGGTAGGTCCGAGCCTGCCTTAAAATTTGCCAACACGATGGATTTTTTTATTATGTTTTGTATTGTTTGTGGTGTCAATCTAATAACACTTTATCCAAAGATCCTATTTTCAAATTCCATGATCAAGATCTACTTCTGAAGAGACACTGTTATATGCTGGAAATTCATAATAGTGTCCCTTTAATGATAAGGCCTCCTTAATCACGATATAAATCATATATGACCACCCTAGAGAGAAGAGCTGTTAAAGATTTGACCATGGATACAGCCCACCATAAACGGTATCCTTCCAGTATCTCCATGTTTGAATTGTAGATATCAGTTTTCAGACTTCAGGGTAAACCTCTTTAAGTCATCTTGACTGGCAAGCCTAATTTTTAGGGGCCATCCAAAAATTGTTTAAGTCAAAATGATATTTACACGAAAGTTTGAGGGGTGCCTATTGTGAGTTGAAATATATGGTGAGATCACTGCTTCAAGAATTAGTGGTTTCAAGAATCAGACTTTTATGGCACCTTGTTTAGCTAAAGCCTCATATATATGCACATGGTACCGAAGGAAGTCAAAACATTGGTTGCGACTCCATAGATCAGCAATTTTTAGCAATGCTATTAAAATATTTGATCATTTACGGGGAAAGGGACCTTAGTCTGCAGGGGCAAAATTTTTAGTAGAGCCATTTATGTCGGATTGAGATGAAAAATCGAATTTTCAGATTTCTATGAAGGACTCTCCGAAGGTCTTGAAAATAAGTTGCAAACAATTTTATTCATTTTTCAGGAGGGTCTGAAGTTGCATTAGAATCTAGCATTTTTGCACTCTGACCACGGCAAGAGGACTTTTAGGTGGTTGATTCTGAAAACAAGGTTTTTAGGATTCGGAACTTCAAACCATCCTAACTCAGGTTTGGCTTAATATTTTTCATTTTTGCATGTTTTTTGTCACAAAATATTTTTAAAACACTCTTCTATCCTCTAGTATTGACTGAGTCTCTCAGTTTGAAAACAACCTTGATCCAGTTTTAACAATGTTAATTTTTTTCCATAAAAACACTCCTCTTCTGACTATTTTGCACTTTTTATCGTCTCCTAAAAAATTTCCATTTTCAGGGTTAGATTGTTTTTGAACTGAGAGATTCATTGCTCATCTCTCTGAGTCTACAAGGGAAAAGGTACCTTTTCCAATAAAGAACCACTTATTCTTGGGGTGGGAATGAAAATGACTCAGTACTTACAAGTGGCTTGTCTGACATAATTTTCCGCAGGTGATTGGTCCCACAGACTGAAAAATTTTCAGGCAGTTTTTCCGGAAGAGTCAATCTACAGGCTGCACCAATAAAACATCCATTAGTAATTTCAACCTCAGGTCCAACGTAACCTGAAAAAAGAAATAAAAAGAAAAATATGATAATTGCTGAAAGAAACTGTGTTACAAGGATACGAGCTGAGAATATTGATTACGCAGAAAATTTTGTTTGTCGTGCTTAAATTTAGTTCTTTTCCTTCTATTCCATAGAAAACTTATATTCCAAGATATGCTCCAATTTTGAGGCCTCTAGACTTCTTTACAGGGAATAATTCATCGGAATTTCCTTCATATATTCAAAATTACGTTCGAATCCACTCCAAGAAAGTTGCATTCTCTCAGTGAAGAAGACAGACAAGGTCTGAAATTAAGCTATACATTTTGGTACTTTTTGGCCAAACTTTGAGCAAAAAACAACTGGCAAAGTGCAGGTCTTGAAAAATATTTATGAATTCTTCACAAGAATAAACGAAATCTATATGGATGAAGCGAGCCATTGTGGATGAGCCTGCCATTTAAAAAATTACCTTTGCCAAGGGTTTCATGATGCATCTTTATTCTTCGTTCTCTTGCATCAATGTTCTCTCTACTTCTTTTATTCTACAAATTTTTCGAGAGTCAAGGTTCGAATCAGAAGAATAAAAAAAGTAATAGGAATCAATGGACTTATGATATTTTCAAGGAAAATTAAGACATTGGTATACCAGTTGATAAAAGTGACATTTGTCTTGGATAAATTGATAGAAATAGAGTGATAAAAATAATTTGATAAATTGATATATATAGACACAGTACATTCAGCATCCTATTTGGCTATCTTAAATTCTGGTTTGTTGATTGGCAGTACATTTGAATTCATCAGCAGCAGAGTTCATGCCAAATAAGTTTACGCACTTTTAAAATACGACAGAAGATCCACCATCTTGATTCTTGCATTTACTGTACATGCTGAATTGATGTCAGACAATCGTCTATCATAGTCTGGAGGTGCGTGAGCATATGACACGGAAAAAAATTAAATGTTGATTTAGCATTCATACTGTTAAAAAGATGTCCGACAAGTTTCAAATGCTGATTTTACATTTTAGCAAATGCTAACATAACTACGCCCGCTGCAAAACGAACAAATTAAAATGTTATGTTAGCATTTTTGTAAAGTAAAATCAGCCTTTGAAACTTGTCGGACATCTTTTTAACAGTATAAATACTAAATCAACATTTAATTTTTTTCTGTGTAGTCGTAGACTCAAAAATGTCAAAAAAGGCAGTTATAAAGGATTAATTGACACAAATTTGTACACGGAAAAAACAAAGAGGATTTTAAAAACGAATATCAGAATAGTTTTTACCGCTGAACCCGAAAATGACCTGCGTTTTTTTCCTTCACCCACCAATTTTTCAAAAAAGGCATTCTTTGGAAAATCCCACTTTTCAGAAAATTGGTGGGTAATAGGAAAAAATGGGGGTCGTTTTCAGCTTCGAAAGGAGAAAGTAAGTGGAAATTACCCGGTAAGACACTTGAATGAAGTAATTCTACCGGCTTCTCAAATGCAAAACATATTTTCCTCTATAATTTTAACAATTGAATTTGAAAATGACCTCGGTTCTTCTCTCTTATACACTTGTTTCTGGAATTTTAAGATAAATAATCCCGGAAATCTAAAAGATGTAAGGGAATAACTAAAGTCATTTTGTACTCAGCCCTAAAATTACAAAGGAATCGACTATCAAACTACCTTATTATTAAAAAAAATTATATATAGATGAAATTCCTAGATATTAGTTTGAGGACATTTCCATGGAACCTACAAAGAGTTTTTTCTGCAAAGTTTTGATAGGGAATCATGTAATGTAGTGCTTGCTAAGGTAAGCTGAGATGATAAAATTTGAACATTTCTATAAGAGGAGGAAAAAAAGACTCCAGCAACTTGGTAGCAGAAGCTATAATATAAACTACTACCTAAGTTGGATAGTCAAATTTTAACTTTGAATTCTACTTCGTGGCATCAACAGAGGTTGTTCATTTTCTATAAAACTTATACCCAATGTATGGTTACATCAAAGGAAATGAGTAAAATCAGGCATTTTATCAAATGCCTAGGCCGGTAGTCAAATTTTGACGGTTTATGGAATTTTGTAAATTTACGGCCAAGAGTTCACAGGTTTTCAATATTTTGGGAAGAATAACTCTTCAAATCCGCGAACTCTCCTTGTTCCTTCCTGTATACGTGCTTTCAGTGCATTTAAATGTTAAAACTTTAAAAATTCTACGTTTTATGACGTGCTGAAAATTTCATGAGAAATGTGCACTCAGAATCTTAAAATCGTTTAAAATACTATTGTATGCTGCATATTTTTACAGAAAATTCTTTCTTACAAGAGCAACGAATTATTTTGTATAAAATGAAGGTAAAAAATAATAATTTCAATCCAAGTAAGAATATTTGACTATTTGCCTGGGCATTTGACAAAATGCCTAATTTGACTATTTGCCTTCAACAAATACAAACACTTACACTTGGCCTCAAGAACACAATTATCACCAACAGCTTTTGCTTCACATACACAGCTGACTTCAAACATGTTGTTGTTGCCAATGAAGAGCGTCTGGGGTTGTCCACTAGCATCTTTTGGAAGTCTAAACAGGTGAAATAAAACAACACAATTATTAAAAGCTTTACAAAGTTCAAGCAATCGTTTAAAAAGCAATTTTTTTTTTTTTTTTTATTCAAAGATTTCCAAGATAAATGCTTCTCATTACGTATTTGTTTTAGAATGAAACATTGGCATATATTACAAACACCAATCATGTTTACCATTTTTCATTTGCCGAAGATCATTGATAATGAAAAAGGACAAGCACATACTTTCCTTGCCAAAATCATCTGAAAACAGTCACAAAGTCATTCTGAGAACATTTACACTACATTTAGCAATAAGGAACTGCTGGCATTGCAACATGAACATGTCCTAGATTGTATGAGCTGGATGGGGAACTATTTTAATTTGTAAATTTCTCTTACAAGATGAAGAAAATGTGCAAAATCTTAGCCGAACTGTAATTCTGAGACTTATTTCTTCATAGTAAAATGCAGCTAATTTATGGGGAATGAATCACAAACCATCTGTAAAAACACATACTTATTTCTTATGACTGTTTGCTCTTCAAAGATGTTTCCGTCGCCAATCACGATGGGACCATTTTCAGCGAGGATTGATGCTCTTGGGTGAACAACGTTTTGCGCTCCGATCGTAACTATGCCCAGAAGTTTTATGTCCTTGCAAACAACTGAGCCTGCAGCTATGCTTGCACTGAAAGAAGAAAAAGAAAGACAAGTCACAAATTGTAATATTGATGAGTCAGGGGATGTCTGTCTAACAAGGAAACATCAAGACCAAATCGGTATCTTCATTATGACATCACTCGGTTGGTTAATTTATCTAGAGATTCAGCCAAGTTCTAACTTCCCTCGGCAATAAGTGCAAAATGCATTTAAATATTAAGGATACGAAATGAAAAACAACTTAATCAGTCAAAAATCACGATAAAATAACAACTTAATTTGGGGAAAAAGAGCAAAGGATAAACAAAAACACGTTTCAAAATATTAACAATTTCATTATCAACCGGAAAAAATTAAAAATTAAAAATGAGCCGTTGATTCGCTGTTATTGCGAGACCGAGACTCTATAGGAGGAGTCTTGGTCTCGCAATGACAGAGAATTGACGGCTCACTTTTAATTTTTAATTTTTTCCGGTTGATAATGAAATTGTTAATATTTTGAAACGTGTTTTGTTTATCCTTTCCTCTTTTTTCCCCGAATTAAGTTGTTATTTTATTAAGGGTGCAGCAAACGTGATCGTAAAAAAATTTGGGCAGTCTCGATTTCTGTTGCGACCATGGTCTTTACACAATTTCTACATCATTAAAAATTTTCTTTGTTCCGAAAAAGTTATTAGAGGCACCTAAAAATTAGCCTTTCTAGCCAAATAACTCTTAAAACTTGGAGGTGAATCTGGAGAACTTAGTAGTTGATTCACAAGATTGTGCTGGCACATTCTGGTACTAATTTATTACTTTGATTACTTGCTCTTTGCAGGGTGTTGAAGCTCTTAAATTGATTGGCATCAGGATGTTGATTACCTAAATTGATTGGCATCAGGATGTTGATTACCTACTATAAAATCAAAAAAAAAACTAAAATACCCTGGGAAAATATGCCATTGACTATGGTCTCATTTCTGATTTGACTGAGATTAGTCTTCAAAACATTTGCGCTTCCACTTACAGCTACCAGGAGGTGGAGATCTTTAAGCCCATTCAGAGTGTAAGAACATGAGCAGTTTAATCCGAAAATTGTTAAGAAAGAGAGAAGGTGTGATTCTATTGTGCACAATCCATCTCCTGAGTCGATGTAAAACCGAAAATTTTATGAGAAGAAGAAAGCACTTATACAGTGGAATATTTAGAGATCGAAACAAGAAGGCGGGGACTTGAAATTTACCTTTCTTTTCAGTGCCCAACACTCTTAAAACATACCAATATAACCAATTTCCTGATACAGGAAACCAATTCTCCTCATTCCCTGTGCAAAGAAATTTAATTTGGCCAATGTAATGCCCAAAAATAAAGTTTTAATAAAGAAAGCCCCCCTCCGCCAGCAATAGAATTCTTGCACATGTGAATGGTTTGTGATTTAAATACATTTACTGTTGTAAAATTTTACGAGAGACAAGGTGGTGCCACTGGTTTCCTCGAAAATCAACTCTTGAGCTCAAAAAAGCTCTCATGGTTCAGGTCGTATTGGAGGGGATATTCCACGTTACATTGAGAGTTCACCTCTAAATCTGGTCAAACTCTACATGCACAGATAGGGAGCAAGTACATTAGCCGAGTTGTGTGGTTCCAGTCTTAAAGTCCCCAAACAAAACGGCAACCCTGGCAAAGTAACTGTGCATGGAGAGTGATGTAGAGGTGGACTCTGAACATAGCATGGATTATCCCCTCCATTATGGCCTTGACTTTGAGAGCTTTTTGTGAGCTTCGGATTTGATTTCTGAAAAAAGCATTGGCGCCATCAAGATTCTCACAAAATTTTCTATGGAGGAGATAATTAAAATGCAAATCTGTGAGACATGAAGGTACTCCTATATTCAGCAATGCCACTGAGCTTATTCCAGCACAATCATTCCACCCACAGCTCATGCTGTGACCCATATCCACTGAGGGTGTTCGAACGAATTCTTGCCGGAACACTAGCGATATCGTCTCTTATTGAAACTAGCGGCAGTACCGACAGTGGCGATGATATCGTTAACAGTCGGCCTTATCGGATTTTTGAGAGCTCGCACTCAATGCATTGTTGCCCCATTCGTCGGTTTATCAGACTGCCTGGCCCGGCGGCGCGTGAAATAGATGTACAAATGGCAACAGCTTATTTTCGTCAGCTCCGAAAACTCTCATCGCTATCGGCAAGAGCGCTCTTATCGTGACTTTTCCTTAATGGTACTGTTTCGGTAGCTTACCGACAACCGATAGAACAGCCCTAATCTCCACTCTATAACGTTATCATGAGAGTAGAGCAGTGAGATAGTGTCTCAATCAAACATGGTAATTGGATGTCCACGACAGTATTGATTTCTCCTCAAATTTTGTGGCACATTTGTGACATAATGTGTTCGAAATTTTTTTGCTGATCGTTCAAGTTTAGTCCAAAAACACAGAGCTGCGACAAAAATAAAAAAAAAACTTACTGGTACGTTGCTTCTTTTCTCTTATCAATGTTCTCCATCATGCACAGGAAGGCAAGTAGGTAAATTAGCGATAAGTTGCCTGCCTATGCTAATTGTCAATTGTCACAAGGGCCGAAGATTCACAGAGCGCACAAAATTCTTCAGAAATCACACACTGCATTACGTATGAATTTCAGCGATATTATGCGTTATTGATCATGTTCTTCATGCGCAGCGCAGGCATGGGAATTAAGGGTTTTTCAAAAAATTGTATCGATATTTAGAGGTTATAAGTTGTGCTGAATGTAAACAATAAACATGTGTGCGTAAGTGCAGCACTCTCGCGGCTAATTGAGAAAACTAAGGTGTTGATAAGCACGGGCATTGGTTTCGACCGGCGAAAAACTCGAAAAACTCACTCTACAGGTCACTTCACGTATGTATGTACTCAATTGACCAGGAATATTGAAATATTTCCGGTTATAATTCATAGCGTGAAAGCTGCCCTGGATTTTCCTACCATATTTTTTTTTTTTAAAATCACAGGAAAAATCGCGCATTTCCCGTGATACCGAAGTGAAAAACGTTTAATTTGTCGGGATTTACGAATTCGCATGGAATATCGCGTATTTCTCTCGATATTGAGATGACACTCGCTTAACTTCTCACTGTGGAACATGCGGAAACCAAGCAAGCAACTATTTGAACTCCGGAGTAGGCATGTGGTATCACGCAAAATTGAAGGAAAATTTTAGCGCTTCGCCTGTCTCAAGTACCGGACGTCTGACAATGAGATATAAAAATCGGATATTTTTCACGATATTTATGTGAATGTTGCGTGTCCTTTAGTGTTCACCAAGATGTTCACCGGCTGGAAAATTTGCACATTTTCCGCGATATTGCGATGATCGATCCGTAATTTCTCAATTTTTTTAGAAAAAAAAAAATCGCTGGAAAAGTCAGGCATTTCCCGCGATACCGAAGTAATAAGTGCGTAATTCCTTTAGATTTCACGAATCCGATGGAAATGTTGTGTATTTCTCGCGATATTGAGACAACACTCGCGTTACTTCTCACTTTTTTTTACGCGGAAATAAAGCGAGCAACCATTCGGCCTCCGGAGTGGGTAAATTTGCGTTTAAGGCGCGATATGAGGTGAATACGCGAGATTTTTATTGATTTAACAAGAACGCTGGAGAAATCGCGATATTGTGGAGATTATCGCGTACTTTCTCATTTCTCGTTCGAAATCGCAGGAAAAATCGAGCGTTATATGGGGGACATCGAGATGAAGAGTGAGTAATCGTTCGAGATATAGCGCATTCGCTGGGAAAATCGCGCATTTTCCGCATTACTGAGATGAATTGCGTGTAATTTCTCACTTTTGAACTTGCGGAAACCAAGCGAGCAACTATTCGAACTCCGCAGTAGGTATATGGTATCACGCGAAATTGAGGGAAAATTATAGTACTTTACCCTATCACAAATAACGGAGATTATGAATTCTATGCTCGCATCAATATAAAACTAGCGAATTTTCTACGATATTGAGGTTGAGGTATTTGAGGATATTGAGGGCTACGTTCTTAATCATTCGCCGAAGAATTTTCGCTCATGTCGCGCATTGGCGGATCCAGCAAATTGGCAACATTGTCTTTTTTCCATTTAAACCTATGGAAATGTATCGATCCTTAGAGGAGCCAGGTGCTTTGACAAGAATCGATTATTTAGCATGGGATTAAATGGAGGCATCTCAGTGTTGCCAAATTTCTGGATCCGCCACTGATCTCGCGATATGAGGCGAATTCGTATAATTTTCATCGGCACAAGGAAACAAATAGCGTACATAAGTTGTTTCTAAAATTACCCAGATTGAGTGGCTACTTATTGAAAATTTAGTCTAGTCACTGCAACAGCTTTGAAACTGTATCGATTTATAATTATAAATCCAATATCTGGAAGAATCGAGAGTACTAAGGAGTACATGATAGAAAAGTTGCCTACGCTCAAAATGAAGGCGTTTTAAGCCCTCGACAGTATTACGTTCTCCAATCGGTATTAGAACAGAGTTCAGATACAAATACGCTGAGTAGCTAAAGTGCGTATTCTATTTTTGCAATAATCTGACCCTTTTTACACACGAAAATTTTTAAAAATTGTCGAAAAAAACGAAATCGTCTGTCTGCCAGCAAGAGATTAAAATCGAAAAAATCGGGAAGTCACTTAAAACCGTAGAGCTTTTTTCGCGTATCTCGGGCTTAAGTGCGGAAATGCCTATTTCACTCTGGCCCCTTCAATTGACCCGACGCGCCTTATGCACAACGCGCGCTCCTTAGCGTTTCCCGCCAACAGCATACATAAGCTGATCAGCGGATCTGTGTTTTTATTCATTTTTAGGAATTCGCTGGTTTTGAAAAGTTGCTAAATACTTATCATTCGAGGGCCACCCAGGATCATTTCCTCATGGGTACCTGTTACTCCCGGCGCGTGGCGTTCAAGTACATTATTCACTCTCTGGGCCAATGCAATCATGAACTGACGGTTCATCACAACAATGGTCAGTTGTATTAAAGCCAATCTAGTCATACCATGGTTCATCCATCGTACTGGATCAGCTGAAGCTTCTAAACAAGTTTTAACTATGTATAGGCTTTAATCTTGATCTTGAATGATCAAGAGCAGGTTCAAAACGCTAATTGCGAAATGCGTATCTCGTGATCAAATGTCATTTTCCAATCATGCGAGCCGGCCATATGAGATCAAACTAAAGCTTTTGATGAGGAATTGTATTGCGTTAAGCACTTTTTTCAATCGTCAAATGATCAAAATCTGCCAACAACAGGTTTTAAACACTAGTTGCAAAAATGCGTATCTCGTGACAAAGTGTCAAATCTTAGTGCCGAAAACGTGAATCTAGGCATTTCTGCTGTATTTTCCAACAGTACGATAAATTATTCAAAATGCTGATAGAGTCTGATTTAACATATTATCCTTGGTATCTTCAAGAATTATCCTTCTATTGACAATAAGGAGGAATGTGGACAATTTTTTAACTCTTCTGGGAAATCGTGTTTTCCGAGTTACACACTTCTGCACTTTCACCGTCAATATGTTTAAATGGAGGATATAAAAAACAGGAGAAAAAATGGGAAACAAGGCTAAAAATTACACATAAAAAACCCGCGACGTTTCGCCCAAAACTGAGCCATTTTGAGTCGGAAGAATAAAAATAAAATATAAAAATTCTAAATAGAAACCTGCAGACTACCCTTCTGTAGTCTGCAGGTTTCTATTTGAAATTTTTAGAGCCTAAATGCCTCCCTTCATTTAATATTTATAAGGAAATTTTCTCTAAATTTTGAGGAAACTGTTACCAATCCTAGCAACACCTAATGGCACTTTATAGGGGCGGACTGGCCCTGGTGAGAGGCTGGAGGTTCCAAACCAAAACTTCTGGAGAGACCCCTTTGCGCCCCCCCCCCCAAGGGACGGGGAAAAATCCCTTAGAGAGGGAAAAATTCGGAGGACTTTAAAATGAGCATTGGTGCCGCAAAGATAACCTAAGGATAACCCAGTTTTGGACTGTCAAATTGGGGCCGCCAGGGCGTAACTCGAGTAACATACGATGTTCAGTCTTTATCATTGTAAAGTGAGTGTATTCGAATACAATTTTTTTTCCATTGTCTGTGTCGGTATTTGTTCCTTTAAAGCGCCTCTAGGCATAAAAGTCAGATTTAAATGATCTACCATTGCGCCAACTCAAAAATGTTTTTTTACATGAGAGGGCAGAGAGAGACGAAGAGGGTATAGCATACTTATCCAAAAATTTACTATGATGGTTTTGGGACATGACTACGAATTTTTCTCTTGGAGGAGAGGGGGAGAGAGGAGGAAGGTATTGTTTGTTTGTTAAACAAAAAATATTGTGCATCCATGGAAAAGCACAGTAAAGAGGTGAAGTCCGTCAATTATTTTAAACACCCCGATAATGCGATCTGCACGGTTCGTTTCAGAGGGAGGTAAATAAAATAGTGTTCCCCACTCAAACTTCCTTCGGGATCTTGAAGTAGGATGCATACACAGTCATTTAAGCCTAAAATGAAAATATTCTGTCGAGCTCTTCGAAAATAAAATCGATTTTTGTGTTTTTGGCGCTAAAATGGCCTTCAAAAGCGATCAATGATTCAATTCCGATGGGTTGTGCATATGCAAAATGGTACGTGTATGATGAAATCTACGTATTTTTGGACCAGAAATCGATTGAGCAGGGTCCCGAATCGGTTCGAAGCTTCATTAACCGAAAAATGGGCCTTTTTTTGGATTTTAGGGATATTTTGGGCCCATTTTTTCCCAATTTTGGCGTGAGAAAACCTGTGCCGTCATGGGTATTAATTATTAGGTACTTTCGGGCAATAAATCGAATGCGCTTGGTCCCGAGTCACTCCGGGGCTTCCTAATCCAAGAATACGCTGTAGGCCCAGGTGGAGCTCCGGAAGAGCTTTGAAAATATTTTTTGTCTTTTATGTTCAAACTGGATGCTGAAATTGGCCTTTCTTTGACTTTAAAATGAGACTCCTGAATAAGTAACAAGAAACTTTTCTATAATTTGATGACCTTTGGCCTCCTTCAGCCAGTCCACTGTGTAAGCTCCTGCATGAAAGCACGATGCATATCTCAGATCTGATCATGCGCTGTGAAGAATGATATCAGTGCGCAAGCATGCTGATCTGCACTGATTGACGGGTTCACACACATACACATCAATTTCTCTTTTTCAAAGACCTTCTGACGAGAAATCGTATGCGCTTTATGAAGAGATGGTATAAATTTGGACTCGAAAAATGAACTCCTCTTGTGGATTTATAATATTCATATGCAGAATAACTATTTTCCCTCCTTTTTCGGTCAAACAAATAATCTTAACCCAACCAAGCCGAGAAAAATTTTTCGGCCTAAGAAGCCCCGGAGTGACTCGGGACCAAGCGCATTCGATTTCTCGCCCGAAAGTACCTAATAATCAATACCCATGACGGCACAGGTTTTCTCACGCCAAAATTGGGAAAAAATGGGCCCAAAATATCCCTAAAATCCAAAAAAAGGCCCATTTTTCGGTTAATGAAGCTTCGAACCGATTCGGGACCCTGCTCAATCGATTTCTGGTCCAAAAATACGTAGATTTCATCATACACGTACCATTTTGCATATGCACAACCCATCGGAATTGAATCATTGATCGCTTTTGAAGGCCATTTTAGCGCCAAAAACACAAAAATCGATTTTATTTTCGAA